TTGCCCGCATATGCAGCCTGTTTGCTAAATGAATGATACATTTGCATCTAAATGGTCCATAAATAATTTGATTCTGCTCCAGACAGTGCAATAAACAAGCCCCCTCCTCCTATTTGATGTGGAAGATGTGGAGTGTGTACTCCTCTGTTATTGCTTTGACTGCTATTATTTGACAAGGCACCGGGGAAGGAGTACATGAATCTATTAACGAGAACCCATCTCCATTATGAGCTGAGATTTGAGTGAGCTGGCAAAGAAATCTTTCATAATATTCAGCTTTTGGTCTCCAGCTCTCAGGGCAAAATTTTTTTTAAAATAGTAAGAAATAAGAGGCCAAGCTTGGACAGGAAGTCCACCCCCACTCTGTGCGGCCTGAGCAGTTCTGCTCTGCGTGTTGGGGATGGTGTGAGGTGTTAATTACCATCTGCACTGCTTTTCATGAAAGCATTGATTACCTGTTCCTCCCATCCAGCCACATGTGTGGATGCCGGAGCCCACGGGCTACAGTGGTCCACTCAATACCCCTGGAGCATTAACTACTAAGTAAGTGGCCATAGCCAGGTATGGGAATCACTCAGCTTGCTTTCTTCCATGTTCAGACATACGGGTTCCAGCTCTTAATCTGGAAGGTAGAGATTGAAGGAAGGCTTGGACAGGTGCCAGCTTCCATTCGCACTTATGTGATGCCCTGTTACATCAAAACTGATTTTTTTATGGCCTCCTTTCATGAGATTTGTGACGTTCGGTTCCTTTAAAAGGCTCCTATGGGATAGTGTGCCTTCATTTAAGAAAGTTCAATATATTAAATCCAGTTTCACATGAAAGAAACACAGAAGGATGGTTATTCACTTTGCAAAGGGATTCATGGTGGGATTCTTAAAGTGATAAATATGATATGCGGCACTTAGCGTGTGATTTAGTTTGTTGTTCCAGGACTGTGTCTGTGGGCAGAAGGCTGCCTACTTAAAGGGCTTTGGTGCTTCTGCTTCTGATTAGCCAACCGTTGTTCCCCTGCTCACAGGGACATGGGGACAATGAAGAAAGTAGGGTTTATCTGGGGGGTAGTCGCCTCTAAGCCCTGGTACTGCTTCTGGAGCTCCACGTCTCTGGCTCTTTACTGGGACCCCCGAGTACTGAGCACATTGGCTCATTTTACCTGGATTCTGATCCCCTTTGAGTTTGCTTTTCTGAGCAGACCTATATTCCCAGGTTTCCTTGGCATCTGGGACTTCTCAAAGGATTTAGGAATTTAACCTTCTGTCAAGCATGATGGCAGGCATCACTGGCTTCTCTGGGGCAGTAGGGGCAGAGCTTCTGACCCTAGTGTCCTATCTCTGGCACCACAGTGCCATGCACCAGAAGCCAACAGCAATGGAATTCTTGTTAGAAGAGCTCCGTGAGGCAGCTGGGTGTTTTTTCTATTCGCTCTGTCCCTAGCTGTGTGACTCTCTAACCTTCCTAGAGATGACCAATTGTGGTCTGACTGAACTAGCTAATGTAGATTTTGTTGTCTTCAACCAAAAAACCTCTCCCTGTGTGTCTTGGGGAATTTGGGCTCCTGTGTACAGCTGTGCAGCTACTACACTGCACAACCCAGAGTACACCATTCACACAGGCTGACCAGCCTTGCTTTGTGAACGGCTGTGTGGTTCTCTCTAAGCTCTGCTGCTCCCACTGCCACAGTCTGGGCCTCACTCTACAGCCTGTGCTGTCTGGCAGCCAAGTGTGAAGGTGCAATCTTCTATAAAGATTACCATTCTTTCAGACCCCAGAGCCTTCTCCAAGAGATTAGCATTCTTTTATTTAGGGTATAGTTTCTTTGGTCCAAGCACTTATAACAAAATTTTCCACAGGTGGGGTGTATTAGTCATGGCTTTCATTTTTCCATAAATGAAAAATAAATGATAAAGTTTTGCCATCTTTGGGCTTTGCAGACCTGGGGGACATACTGTCTCTTCTAGAGTTATCTAATTTCTAGACATACCAGACAACTTATATGAGAACACACCTTTGATATGCCATCTAACCCAACCTAAGTCCATACCTTACCCCTTTAATTAAGTTCTTTTTTTTTTTTTTTTTTTTTTAGGTTCAAACAGCAATTCTTTATTCCCGCTCTCATACCGCCTCCACACAGGTCCAGGGGCAATCCTTAATTAAGTTCTTATAGACTAGCCATTACCCTCTGTCCTAAATCCCTCCATGTACAACTAGAGGTTAGTCCTATAACTTAGATTCCCCCAGAACTGTTCAAACTAGCCAATCCTACTCCGACTCAGCTGCTTACTCTGCCTCCCCCAGTCCTTCCATGAAAGTAAAAATGAAAGCTTTTGCCCAGGCTCCCCCCCCCATCCCTCTGCCTCCTGAGGGACCCTGGTACTTTCATGTGTGGTCCTGGATGGTGTGTGTGTGCCCTCCTCTTGGGAACTAAGGAATAAGCCTTTCTCTAAAGGCAGTTGTGTCCAGGCTTGATGTCTTACTGAACCCAATTCAAACAAATCCTGGGCACTTCTTAAAACACCGGGAAAGAAAAGAGTTGAGCAGCTTCACGCAGTGTCTTGTTCCAAAGACCAACTCCTGAAATGAGCTGGATTTCCCAAGACAGAGCCCTGGAGTTTAAATGTCTTCTGCCTCAGGAACGTACATGCAGGACTCCCCCTCAATGCATCCCCTTCCCTGTTATAGTGTCATCCTGGTATTAGGGCCGGGTCCCTGACCCTCAGACTCCAGGTCCCATTCATCATTTATTTCGGGACCTATCATACAGTAAAGGCTCTCTGTGGCCTGCTCTATTCCCACAGAATCTTCCAGGTGAATGCACGGACTAACATGAAGATTCTAGCAGGGTTATGACTTCATTCTTACGTTTAGGAGGGAAATCTCAGAATACCTGAACAGTTTATGGTTACTTTACCAAGATCCTAAACAATTATGAAATTGTTGAGTGGTAAAAGACCCCAAGCATTACCTCATGAAAATATTTCCTCTCTTTTTCTTCTCACTCCTTTCACTGTTTTTCCATCTAGGTTTCTTTCACTTGAATAAATTCCTTCTACCACTTCTAATAATAGATCACCTTATTGTATCTGTTAGGATGTTCGCTGTCGTGTTCTTGAGCAGGAGTTGACAAAATTTATCTCCTGGGACAAATTCAGCCTACTTCTTATTCTTTATAAATAAAGTTTTATTGGAACACAGCTACAACTATTCATTTACATATTGTCAAGCTTTCATATCACAATGGCAGAAACAAGAGTTGTGATGGAGGCCAGGTAGTCAGCAAAATCTGGAACGTTTATCTTCAGACCCTTTACAGAAAAAAAAAAATTGTGGACCCCTGCTCTAGGGGGTAAAATGGGCTGGTAGTCTGGGGACATTATTTACATGGTCTTCAGGGGCCACCTCAAATTCTTCGTGGTGGATACATCATTCTTTAACCAAAAGAGCTGCTACCAAGCTCCCCTTGAAACCATACCGGTTAAAGTCTTCCATTAACTTTCATTGTGTCGGGCCACATTTTGCTGTTGGCACACAAATGTACACAGATCACTCGTGTTTCTACATGTCTAGGCATGAATGGCCAATTGTTCCAGAATTCTCTTCTGAAATGTGTATATAAACATGGCGACAGTGACTCTTCTTGACCAAATTACATTGCTGGATGGTGAAGATAGATCCATCCTCAGAGAGATTTGCTTACATTTCAGGGTAATAAAATATTTTCCCTCTCTCCAGAGGAGAGGATAGGTATGTTTGCTTGTAGTCTTATATAAAAATGAGAGTTCCTGTCCTAATCCCAGGTTCTTTTCCTTTAACACACATCTTCTGTGTGTGCAGGCAACACCTAGCCCTTGGTGCTTTGTTATCCTATTGGAAATGGGGCTCAGGGAACCTGCACAAAAGTGTTCCTATTGCTGTAAATAATTAGTGCCAATTACATTTGGGCTTATTGTCTACTTATGGGTCAAATCTGCAGAAGCAATCAACCAAACCAATAGCTGATAGTGGGAACACCTGGCCCACTCCATAGTTGCCTGATGCAGGTATAAGTGCATTTGTTTAGTTTCAAGCACACCGAGAAGTTCCTTGAGGGCTGAGACTAGATCTTTCCTTCCCAACATACAATAGGCATTCAATAATGTTTAGTCACTCAGTCATACCTTCTGTTCTTTAATGCTTTTCTTCACGGAGCACAAAAACTTTGGATTATTTTCTAAATTGACGGCTTCTGCCCAAGTGCCGATGTTATCTGAGACTCGGGTCCACAGCCCAGTGATCTTGTTAAGGTGCAGAGACAAGCTCCACCCGAAGACTGTTCAACCAGTGAACCTAATAGACTTGTGGCCAGAGGCAACAGGCCACACAGCGGCTCCCTAGAGAATGAGGTTCTCCCTCCTGCGTGCTTGCTTCAGACAGCAACCTGTTCTCTCAGAACAGTGAATGCATTTGATGGATTCTTCCTTCCTACTTTTGCCAGATTTAACAAATAAGAAGCACAGGATTCCCAGTTAAACTTGAATCAGATATAAATATTATTTTAGTATAAATAAGTCCCAAAGATTACAAAGGATATATGTATGCCAAATTTTGGTTTGGTCGCTCATTTGAAATTAAAATTTAACTGGGTGTCCAGTATCTCATTAAGCAGGACTATTCTTTGCCCTTTCTCCTCTAAGCCCATTTCCCACCTGAGCTCCATCCTCTCTAAATTCCCTCCAGAAATGTTTTTTTTTTTTAATTTTTTTATTCTTCTTTCCTTAAAGCACTCTTCCTGGGATGGTGATGCTGTGGAGCTGGATGTTAAGGAATGCACACACCTTTCAGGAGAATTCCATTGCATTTCCCTGATTAACCCAGATTTTGTTTGCAGGAAGCGGGACCATGGGGACCTTGAGGTAGGCAGTGGTTTGCGTTTGAGTAACTGGGACACTCTATGACATTTTGAGACCCTTGATTTCTGGTTTGATTGTGTTTTATTTTTTAAATCTTTAATTCCCAGAATTGCCTGTTGGGAAAGAAAATGAAGTCACTGAGACTAAGTTTTTTTTTTTTTTTTTTAAATGGAATAGGGAGACCTCAAGAAGATTGTATTCAAACCTGCTCCAATACACTTCAACAGGTGAAATCGGGCAGCCGCTGACCTAATTAACTTAATTAATAAACCAATCAGAACAGGTTTGTGATTTAGAATTTCTGTCCAGCTAACAAATTGCCTCTGAAAACAACTTTTGTGGAAATATTGTTAAAGAAACCTCCCCGTACATGCCCCCATGGGACACTGCTCTGAGTACCCTGATTCTGTGTACTAGAATTGCAATTCTTTGTTTCTCAAATAAATGCTATTTCCTTTGACCTCCGTGTCAATCTTTTTTAAAGTTAACACTGTAAAGTCTGATCTAAAAATCAAGATGTGTCTACCCCTTGTGTATTACTGGAAATAGAATTGAAACCGAGGAAGAGACAGAATGGAAGATTCAATTACCTTCTAGCTGGGTGGTAATCAAAGCTCCCAACTTTGATACTTAATAGATGCTTTTCCCGCTGGTCCTTGCACAGCAAATGCAAAGTCTGCCTTGTCTACCCCAGGACCAATAGGGAACCAGTTCAAGGCTTTCCTTCTTTCTCACCCTGCAGGCGAAGCTTACAGGGGGCTTAGTTCAGAGCTGCAGGAGAATAAGATCTGATATTTCACATTCCCCAGGAAGGTCGGAAGGTCGTGAAATGGTGACCCCTACCCAGGCAGCCAGGGGAGACCTGCGCGATGAATAAAAGCCTCTCTAGGGATTTGTGAGGTGACTCCGTGTCAGGGCTGAGGGCAGAGATTTAAATATAAATTAGGACCAGACAGGGGTTTACTTCAGTGCTCAAAGGAAGATTTATAGGGTTGTAGTCCCTTTATCAGCACCAGGCGGTGGGGATTTGCACTGTGTGGCACTCGGCACTGGGGACTGTTCCACGCTGGGCTGGTTCATCCGTCATGGCTGAGGAGCTCCCACATCCTCATCTGCCTGCCAACCCCCTTTCTTGCTCCTCTGTCCTCTCTGCCTTCTCTTGCCAGCCCCAGATGACAGAGCTGTGTTCCCTCTCACACTGGGTTGCAGAGGACTCCTGCCTAATACTCCTCTGTGCTCTTTTTAGACTCTGTTTAGTTTTTTCCTGCTTCTCCATTGAATGCAAGTATGACCGTTTCCAGTCACCTCTTTCCTGCTCTCCTGCCTCTTTTAAAGAACTACCAGCTATCTTCCCCAGGTGACTTCACCTGCTTCTTTGTTTTTGGTGACCTGTTTTCTCACCAGATCTCTGGCTCTGGATTTGAGAACCTAATGTTCAGCCAAATAGCCTCAGCAGAATCCCATGGGGGAAGAGAGTTAAAAATCAGAATCCTGGGCTCCACTCTAGACCCCTGAATCAGAATGTCTGGTTCTAGGATTCAAAAACTGGGTTCTACGGGTAACTCTTAAGCCCACTGAAGTTTGGGAACCCAAATTCTGGCTGTCACGGCGGGATCAGGCTGGGGCTTCCTCCCTCTGCTGGGCTTCTGGAGGACCGAGTTCTCTCTCGGGGGAGTCTTTCTCCAGCATGAACATCAGCAGCGTTAGTGTGGAATTGTGAGGCAAAGGGCAAATAACCCGGCCACTGTGGGGTACAGAGTGGTCCCCGGAGAGGACAGGGCCTGAAAAGTGCCCTGGCTCATGAATATTCATGATGGCCATGTGGTCAGTTTTGATCACTCAGATCCATTCAAGGCACTGTCTCTAAGCCTTTGTGAGAGCAGGAAACAGGTTCAGGGAATAAGGAGGAAGGGAAGAAGATTGAGGTTAAAGTGAATTGACAGGCAATAGGATTAGAACTCTTGCTCAATTCTGATCTTGCGAGTAACTAACAGTGGCCTGAAATTAAAGAATTAAACCATGAAGGCTTCTTTGACAACTGATCTGATAGGCCCAGAAGTAAATTTCAGGGACAGTGTTGTTAGGCAGAGGCAGGGGACAGCTAAGATAAGGGACTTGGGAGACCAGAGAAGGGGAGTGAAGCAAGTCTTTCTTTACCATGTGGGGAGAAGGGCTTTGGTCTCTCTTCTCAGGGCAGCACTAGACTGAAATAGGACTGGGGGCAAGTTAGTTGCCAGGGCTTCTATTTACCTCTGGTAGTGATTTATTCTGTGAATCTAATTATGACTTTTAAATATGAAATGAGAGGGGGAGATAATGACACCTAAGTCAAACGTGACAGCTGGCGAATCTCTGATAACAGCACTTCCTTCATGTTGCTTACTAGTGTGTGAGTGAGTGTGTGTGTGTATGTGTGTGTGTGTGGGGGGGGGACCACCACCATCAACAAAACAACTCCAAAGGGTTCCAGGAAACAATATCAAATGTGATTTAATGACATTTTCCATTTGAGACAGAGTAAAGTAGCATTCTACGTTTGCTACTTCTTCTTTAACATTAGAAAGCCTAGAAAATTCTATATACACATCAATTTCAGGATAAGTAAAATGCCTCTCAATTTCCTTTCTCTTTCTTATCTCCATACCTTAAACCAAGGTTAAAAAAGGATAAGAAACGTTTATAGTATAATCAAGGTGAAATTTTTTTCACAGTATTGGAAAAAACAAACTCTAACCCCTGTAGATAACTCATATGATGACCTGATATTGGAGGAAATCAATGCTTATCTGCAATAGATCTCTGGGATCTTTCTTCAATGGAGGTTTTCTTCAGCTGGCCATCCTCCAGGTTAACACAAAGGACAGCAAACCAATTCTTAAAGGAAATCTTCAGAACAAATTTGACAATCTGACTAGGAGACTCCACTTGATGCAATTTGGAGCTGAATGTCAATCAAAGCCTAACTCTTTGATGCCCAGTTGTGATACCCCCCTCCCACCAGAACCGGGCTCCAGGTGGAACCTCAGAGAACCTCACTTCTGCCATCCCTTACATGGAAATCACTGGGATCAGAGTCATTGATTCACAGTTGACTTTGGAGATCCTGCCATTTTCCAGGGACTTAGCCTGTTCTGTCCCATGAGTCTTGCCCTAGGGGAAACCGTCTACCCTTGCAGGGTCCTTGCTGGGTTGCAATGAAGTGAAGTAGCCAAAGCAGGAAAGGAAAATGCTAAGCACTGTTCTTCGTGTGACATCTCTTGACTGACTACCTTTTCTGTCCCTTAGATTCCTGCCGAGGGTCCCAGTTTCATGGGAACTCATTTTATGTGATGTCTGAAACTACTGCTTACTGTGACTTCTCAGATTTTGGATATTTTATATCTCTAATTTCAAAATAGAACATTTCTTTAGATTAGATTTTGGCCTATGTGTCAGGATCTAGAGCTAGGGAGGGGCACCTAAGTGATAGGAGATTCAAGCTCTATTTATAGAGCTTGGTTTTGCTTTTGGGTTGGAATTGCCAACAGACTAGTTATGGGCCATGATTCTCCATGAAAGCCATCCAATACAACTCTATGTACTCACAGAGATAGAGAGGGATGCTGATGGGGAGGAGGAGGGTATCCTCTGGCAGGGAATGCTCTTGTAGCTGCTTATAAGCCTCAGAATCTCTTCTCCAGGATGGTTTGGGTTTTCTGAGAATTTGCTCTTTGACTGTCATCTCTACCCCTATCAATATGGCCACCAAGGACTTGCTTTTTCCCAAAGTCCACTGTCTGCAATAGTCCTACCTTGCTGTGTGCATTAGCAACATCAAGGTAATGCTCTACAGGTAAATGTTTAACAAATGGTTTCTTAGGGAGAGAAGGGGAACCCCTGGCTTGTGTTTGCTAATTTCCATGGTGCAAATTCTCCCACCATGGCCAATTTTGAGTTATCACCATGAAGTCACTAAATGTGGAGTTGGAAGATGAGCTGTAGAACATCCTTGTGCAGCAAGTTCATCTTTTGGATCTGACTGATACAAATAATGTCAGGAGCCCAGAAAGCAAAGAGTGATGAAATAATTAAGAAGTGATTAGGTTGGGTACTTAATACCTGTGCATTAAATATAATTTATTTAATTGAAAATTTATACAATTTAATTTTTAATAATGGCTGTACTTAATAATCAGCTTGCAAAATTGCTAAGAATTTAACAACCAGAACACATGGCAGCTCTAGGGTACCACTGGGTTTTAAGTTGGCAAAAAAAAAAGGAAGAAAAAGGAGAAATGAAAAAGCACATTTAGTACCACAGTACTAAAAGGCTCCTAAGCCATTCGGACTTCATGGCTAGGTCCTTCTGAGCCTTGGGTCTTGAGTTCATAGGAATGACGTGGTTGATGTTGGTCAGAGGCCTGGACTACGGAGGCAGACATGTAGATGTTTCTCACCTATAAAGTGGGTATAATAAACAGTATCCATTTCATAAAATTGTTAGGGAGATTATATGAGATAGTATATTCAAATACTTAGTCCACTGGGTCATGTAGTAGACTCTCAATAAATGGTAGCCATGTGTGCTATTATGACTTCTATCTGAAGATAAAGTGATTCATGTGAATACTGATTGTTAAAAACAACCCTCCTTGTATGGCCTGACATCCATTTTACCAATAATCATTCATGTTGGCTCAAGGAGAGGGATGGTTCTTTCTCCATACCTACAGAAAAAGCTGTGATTCAAATATGGGTAACTCCTTTCTCACCATTAAGTGCTGCTGTCTCTCTAGGTCTTCTTAGAATGTACATGTTCCTCAGAGGATGTCAGTAAGTCTAGCACCTCAGTGTGAATGAGATAATCAAAATCCAGGGCTGTGTAGGGGTTCTTGGGAATCTAAAAAGCCTAGCAGTGGGTGAAGAGAGACAAGAAAGGGCACTGAGACCTCCACATACCTGTCCCCACATCATCTCCCTGGGGCTGGCCTATTCCCAGGTTGACCAGATGTTCCTAAAAGCAACTCCACTTGAGTCTTCCTCTTCCTGTTCTCCCATCTGTCCTAGGGCAAAGACCCAGTTGATCCACTGCTGATGTGAGAACATTGCTAAATATTTTGGGCAGTCTTCTTATTTTGAGAACCCTAAGTGTGAAGCTGGTTAATCTGAGTTCTACCTGTGGTCTGATCACTCCATGTGTGACCTGGAGAAGGTAATGTCCTGCCTGGGCATTTTTATTGTTTTTAGTATATTGAGGATACTGTTGAGGATTAACCTGAGACTCAAATGAGAGAGAGAGAGAGCCCTTGAAGAACACTAAAGCTCAAACACACTTTTTGGATATTATTTTCTATTTCTCATTTGTTGTTAGTTTGCTCCTTTTTCTTTAATTCCTTACATGTAGATATGGAGAGAAAGGCCTCCTTGGAAGTACCATAGATGGAAGAACATAGCACATGTCCTCCTCCTTATTCTAAGGATTTCTAGAAACCAACATGCAAGAAGATCCTATCCAAGATCACTTACTCATCACACAGTCTTGTATGCAATAGCAGCGACCTGAAGTTATTCCCAGGTTGGCTCAGGTGACTTGGCACAAGAAGGCAAAGGTGATGTCCCCAGGCGCCCCGAGGCCCTGTGAATGTTAGTTGTATTCCTCATGAGGTTGGTCTGTTTGTCTGGGGCACCTGGGATGCTACACAAATGTTTTCAAAATGGTTGAGCATCAGAAGTCAGGAGAGGAACTGCGGCTTCTACGGTTACCAGACTTACAGCCAAGCAGGTCTTGGATTACAGAAAGGGACTGGGGACTACGTAGGGAGTCAGACAAGCCTATTTTTTTCTGGCACTGACCAACCAGCCTCAAGTCATTCCTGGACCATTCTTGTGGGTGGAGGTGGGAAGCTAGTGCCAGTGCCCCGGGGGGGAGTGTGCCCCCGTAGCTCTGAGAGCAAGCAGGATGCAACCTAAAGTTTGTCACCCACTCAGGGCTCTGAAAAAATGAAGCCCTAGCCCCAGGGCTCTAGCAATTATTGTTTGACTCCAGAGGATTGTGCTGTCAAATCTTCCAAGGACCTCTTTCTGGTACTTGGGGTGTGAGGTGGCAGCAAAAGTGGCTCGAAAATTACTCGGGTTGTTTAGGGGGAGGGTGCTGGGTTTCAGGACAAATTATTTTTGATGAAGAAAAGATGGCTGATGGGCAGCCAGGACTCTGCCTGAAACTAAGCACTCTGAGTTCTACCTGTGGTCTGACATCCATTTTACCAATAATCATTCATGTTGGCTTGGAGGCCTGCCAGGATCCAGCTGAGGTGACAGAATGGGCTGGCGAAAGGCCCACTGGGCCCCAGTGAGCACTTCTTGGGGTTTGGGAGTAATGCTTCCCCAGTGCCTGAAGTGTGGCAGAGGGGAGAAGCAGACTCAACCTAAAGAGGCAGGACTCCCTCTGAAACAGACTGAAGAAAGAAAGAAGAAACGATTTGGACAGTACATCTTTCAACTCCAACAGTCTTTTCCTTTTGGAAATAGTGGAGAAAGGAACTGAGGGTGGCAGGAAATAACTACTCTGATCGAATCTTACAAACCTTCTATAAAACTATGTCAACAAAGCAGGACAGACATCACGCCAAGATCTGGAATCACAGGATGTTTACATGACATTAATGCCCGCGGCAGACAAATACTAAATACCACAAAGTACCTGAGACAAAATTAAAAGGAAAAAAAAAAAGAAGGAAAGAAGGAGAAGAATAAAAAGGAGTCTAGTGTCCTGACACCCAGAGGCCCGGGGCTCACAGGCCGTGTGTGGGCTTCTGGTGGCCCCTGGCCTCACATCTCGGCTTCTGCGGAGTGGACTTCCGTCGCAGTGATAGCAATTCCGATGGCAAGGCTGCCATTGTCAGAGAAGAGCTGGGCCAGGGAGGTGTTGAGGACGAGGCAGTCCCCATCTGTGATGACCGAGTCCACGCACTCGAGGACAGACCGGGGGGTGGCCTCCCATTTGAGACGCCGATGGTTTCTGTTGAGCTCCAGGCGATAGGTGAAACAGTCGGCCTGGGTGGGGGTCCCGATCAGCATCATGGTGGCAAAGAACTGGGGGTGCCCTTCGTGCCTCTCCTGCTTCCTGAGCACCAGCAGAAAGTGGTGGCCGAGGCAGGAGTGCATGATGATCCAGTCGGCCGGCGCCGGCAGATGCATGTCTGTGGCCAGGAAGACTATTTCCGCTCCCTGAAGGATGTCAACCCTGTGGGTCTGACGCAGATGGGGGACAACCACCTCCAGGTGGCCTTCCCACTGGCAAGAGAACAAGGGGCACAGGCAGGGCGTCACCTGGGCAACGTGCAGCCCTGCCTCCTGGTGGTGGAGGTGGTGGGGGTGGGCGTGGTGGCGCAGGTGGTGGTGGTGGCGGTGGTGGCGGTGGTGGTGGGGGAGATGGTGAGGGTGGAAGCCGCCTTGCTCTGCAGTGCTCTGAGTGATGGCGCGTCTACTGGACACATACTAGAAGGAAAGAGAGTAGTATTAGTGGGGCGTGAGACCTGTGTCTGTCCCTGGCTGCGACTCCCCTGGTGACCAAAACATTAAAAGCTGATTGTCGGGCTGGGGTTGTAGCTCCGTGATGGAGCACTTGCCTACTTAAGGATGAGTCGCTGGGTTCGATCCTCAGCACCACATAAAACTAAATAAATAAAATTAAGGGATTAATTACAATTTAAAAAAAAAATTAAAGCAAATTATTTAGTGCCAACAGAGAAAGGTTCATTTCTTTTAAAAATGAGGGACATTGTGGGTACCTGGGGAGATGGGGGGTTAAGATTCTGGAAACCTGGGCCAAGAAAATGCAATATTTATGTCTTTGTGATTCTTTAATAAGATATCCAAGCAAATAGCAAATAGCCAATTCTGCCCCTCAAATAACATTGTACTGTAACGGTCATCAATCATGAAGAATACCCCCCCACCCTGGTTGTTTTTGTTTTTGCTTGCTTGATTCTGTTGATATTTTTGTGCAGACAATAGAAGTCCATGGATTTTTTTTTCTATTTTATTATTGCTGTTATTTTTAGAATAAAAACTCAATAATATCTATTTGTCCTTCCAGGGTTATCCGGGGTCATACGGTTTTGTGTATCCTGCTCCCAGGTCCTAAGGCAACCATTGGGACACAGAGGCAATTGTGTGCAGTTGACCCCAGTCACCAGGGAGGAAGCCCCACCCTTGACTCAGGGCACTGTCCCCCACCATGGACGCCTCTACCCTATGCCTCGCTCTCTGCTCCAGAGCAACTTCTCAGGGGCTCACTTCCAGGCACTTCCATTGTGACCGTCTCCTGACCCTTTGTTCCTCAGGGCAGTGTGCCCACAAATGTCCTTAATAACAGTCAGACCTGTGATGGCACCTTCTGATCAGGCATCTGTAAGCATGTATGGAGCACCCGCTATGGCCAGGCCCTGCAGGCGTTAGCAATAGACACCGTGTCTCTTGGTGTGGGTGGTACAGACATTAATATGCTTATAATTAATCACACATTTGACAGGGGTCCTCCTTGTGACATGAGGACTATGATTCATATTTTTCAGTTGAAGATACAGGCTTCAGTTGCCATGTGCCTGAGGTTACCACGCGGGAAAGCTGCAGACAGGGATTCATTTTCACACCTCCTGACTCAGAACACACAGCACGTACCCCACCCCAGTTCTGCCTGCCTCCAGCTCCCCACTCTCACTCCCGAGTTTCTCTTGTCTTTAATTAGCTACTGAAGGTTCTGGGCCATTGGGTGGAGGTGGCAGCCTTATAGCGCCCCCATCCCCCCAGGCACGGGGCCCTCACCTGGTAGTGGTCTCCTAGGCTACCCTCAGGTCGTGAAAGACCCGTCTGCCCTAGTTCTCCAAATGCTTTCCAGACTTGAAGTGCCTCTGGGCACCTGCCTTTTCTCCTTGCTTCAGTTTGTTCCCAAAGTATAGAAAATAGGGTGAAAGTCTGCCTTTTACACTCACCACCATGGTTACAAGAATTTTTCTCTCTTCTAGCTCACTATGGCTAACTGGCGTCCCCTCTTTAGAGCATGAGCACACGCACACATTCATACACGTGCTATGCAGAGACGGCCACCTGGTGGTGGAGGTGACCTAGAGGCAGGTGGGCATAGATGAGGTCTGCTCTGGAGTTGTTAACTCTAGCTTCCGGGGTCTGGGTTCTGGCAGAAGCAGTGTAAGCTATGGAAGTCCCTCCAGCAGCGCCTTCCTGCCTCTGATGGTAGCTACTGGGCCGCCTGCTGTCACCCATCCTCACCCCTAAGGGATACATCGCGCCTTCAGCCGCGAGACAACAGACTATGTTCCAGAATTCTGCTAGTGATCAGTTTCCCTTTAGTATTAAACACAGAGAAGGGAGTTACCTAGTATGTAGCATCTACTAAGTGTTCAGCACCACGAAAAGTAGATTTTAGAAAATAATTATTTCATTAATTCTCTCACAGTAAAGATCAGTTTGGGTTTTTTTGTTTGTTTACAGATAAATTAAACCTTGTTGAGTTGCCATCTGCCTGCCGGCAGCCTGGACCATTTACTCACTGGGTAAAGGGAGGGTTCCTCCCAAGAAATCCAGGGCGGTATCTCCATCAGCTAGGCTCCAGCTTGCCGCAGTCCGGCTGGGCACAATAACCAGGAGGTCACGAGCCTCTTGTAGATTCAAGCAGGAACGAACTTTATTCGAGAACCCACGGGAACTCCGAGAGAACTCAACGGGAACTCCACGGCAATTCCGCGAGAACCAACGGGAACTCCGCGAGAACTCAAAAGTAGCAGGCACCCGAGGTAGCAGGAGCCTCCTTATTGCCGGACAGCAGAGGTCCATACACACAACTGAATACACAGCCTGCCCCAATCCAGCATCATCCAGTTACAGCAATCAGTCATTATCTTAATAATTACACACAGCTTAACTTAATTATCATCATCTTAATGGCTCGCTGGCATTACCCCTCAACCACTCCTTCTGGCAAAATGCCAGGCGCCATCTTGACTTGGTTGTGGCTCTCAACATTGAAGGTTGAAGCGGGAACTGCTTTATTGCGGGAAACTCAGCAGGAACTGAGCGGGAACTCAAGGTAGCGGGCACCCAAGGTAGCAGGAGCCACCTTATTGCGGGACAGCAGAGGTATATATACCTAACTGGCTACACACAGCTTGACTCAATTAGCATCATCCAGTTACAGCAATCAGCCAATAAGGAATCCCTACATCTAAGTGGCTCGGTGACGTTGCCTTACAAACCACTCCTCCTGGCAAACTGCCAGGCGCCATCTTGACTTGATACGCGGTCCCCAACATTAGCTAGGTCTTTCCAGAAGTCTGCACCTTCCTGAAAGGTGGTCTGCCTCTTCCGCTGTGCTCAAGAAAGCCTAGTCTTGTGCTCTGGTGGGAAGCCCCAAACGCTGCCCCTACCCAGTCTCTGAGAAGACCCCTTTCTCACATGGGCTTTACAATAATCATGAGAGAAATATGTTATGCTTGTCTTATTGATGAAGAAACTAAGACACAGAGGGACTGAGTCACTTGCTCAAAGTCACACAGCACATAAAAGATGAGGCTGGAAATGGAGCCCAGAATAGCTAAAGGGGACAAGGATCATAGTCTGGGAAGAACACAGTCTGGATCTCAAAAGACTTTTGTCTACTTCCCTGTTTACTTGTCCAGCAAGTAAATGAAGGAAGTTTTCTTACTGGGCAAAAATAATTAACCCCAAAGGTCTTGCTGACTGGGAGAACAACAAGTTTGAAAGAGCCAGATGCGAAAGAAGGCAAGATGTTTAAGAAGCAATAAAATAATGCCTTAAGATGGCATTAAAAAGGAAGTCAAGTGTTCATACGAAGATGATCTTTCCATTTAGATGGTGTTGGGGGTGAAGACTTTGGTGACCTTCTGCCTTGGTCCATGCTTTCCTCTCTCCAACCTGGTCACTTGACCTTCACACGTGGGTGGCAATTTGGTTGAACACAGGCTACCACGAGAGCCTGGAGAACCTGATTTTGCCCTTGGCCTAATGCATGACGACAGAATGTCCTGGGATTCCCGTCTCAGAAGTGGCCTCTGGGCTAGTTAACCTCCACAAACCCTTCCCCAGCCCACTCTCCTTCTTCTGTGTTGTGCTGTGCAGCCAATGTCAGACATGTGAAGTCACAGTAGGGAAGGAGGGGGGATACCCTGAGCTCCCTTTTCCCTCTCTCCAATCTGCCAGTGCCCCCCATCAGACAATGCAACCAGGAACCTGTCAGCAAAGGGAGTCACCAGTGCACCAAGCAAGTGTTGACTCCCTTTGGAAATGGTACTGAGCGAGGCAGGTAGGCGAAGGAGGAGGAGGATGCCTATCTGTATGCACATATCTCTGTTCCCTCCTATGTGATGTGGTAGGTGAGCTCTGATGAGGCTTCGGGTGGGGAGGAGAGAGAAACATGACCACAACTCAAGGTAGTCACCTAACAGTGCAAAGGGTTGAGAATACAGAAGAGCACCCTTGTTCCTGGCTCATTGGCCCCTAGGATCATGTATGTTATAACACAATGCAAAAATGCAGTGTAGCAGGTCCTCTGTATCTGTGCTTTCTGTCAACCACACATTGAAAATATTTTCGAAAATCATATCTGTACAGAACATGTACAGACTTTTTTTCTTGACACTATGTTCTAAACAAAATGTACAGCATTTGCATCGTAGTAGGTTTTATAAATAATCTACTGATGGTTTAAAGGATTTGGGAGGATGTCCATGAGTTATATGTAAACACTAGGTCATTTTACATGAGGGGCTTGAATACCCATAGATTTGAGTACCACAGAAGTTTCCGGAACCAATCCCAGCAGACACTGAGGGAGGATTTCAGGCATGAAGGGCTCTCATAGCAGAAAGTAGGGGAGGCTATTCTATCGAGCGTGAGGGACATTTATTCTGTGTGAAGCATGAAGGGTGAGTTCTCTAACAAATTAGGTAAAGGTCTTGCCGACAGGGAGAACAACAAGTTTGAAAGGGCCAGATGCGATAGAAGGCAAGATGTTTAAGAAGCGACAAGAAGTTTCCAACAGACCTGGCAGATGGACCATCTGGTGGAGATGGAGAGGGGTTGGGCCTTATTGCCAAATCAAGGGGAGGCTGAGATGGCCTTCAGTGCCCAGTGGGAAACCAGCAGGAAGGCCCAGGACTCAGCTGTGCACTTTACAGTGTTCTTGAGGGTGGCACCATGTGCCCAGGCCCACAAGCAGAGCCTGCTCCAAACTAGCACTCAGAGTGGGGCCAGCAGCCAGTCCCCACCCTGTCCATCCAGTGGAACCAACAGTGCTCTTCCACCTAAGCGCTCCTGTTGCTTCCTTTGGGCTTCTTCATCTGCCAGCCTTTTTATGTCTTGTTTTTTAATTGCTGCTGTATCACAAAGCAGCCAAGGATATAATCCAAAGAGACCGAATTGAATGACTATGCAAATAGAGTGGGGCATTATGAACTCACGGA